CTTATAGTGTTTTTTTATAGTTAACTAAAATTATTTAAGAAAACATTTTAAATAAACAACCTAAAATAAAACAAAATATAGATATTAGATGAAACTCAAACTAAAAAAAAATTAGGTAAGTGATTTAACTTGAAATAAAATATTTGAAAATGACAAAATAGAATAAACAATAGAATAAAAAGACTTTTATTTTATTTTTATTACTTTTTACTTTTAAAAATGTTCCAAAGTTTTAATGTGAACTGCTTATAATAATAATAATAATAATAACTTTAATAATAACTTTTGGATAACTTTTATGCCCCAGTGGTTGATTTTTATATAAATGATATATATATATATATGATATATATATGATATATATATCATATATAAAGTACCACATAGGTTAAAAAAAATAAATAAAAATTTTAATAATTTTTGAAGAGATGTTTTTTTTTTTTCTCAAGTGTGCAGTCTGTTCTGTCTCATGACCTCTCTGCCAAAACACAATTGGTCAGCATATGGTTTGATTTTAGTTTGTTGATATTTTCTTGATTTTGCAGTCTACATGCTGAGCCTTCATAGCCAACAATTGAATCAGTTCAAAATATACAAATCAACATAACCGTCTTTTACATAGCGCCCAAAATATCTCCAGTATGCCAAGAGATGTCTAAACCCACACAGATCAAAGAGTCTCTCTCTTTCGACAAAGATGTCCAAAATCCACAAGTTTTGTATTTATCTTCAGATGTGTTTATGTTAATACAATAGCATGGGTGAAACACTATTCCTTCCACACAAAAGTAAGAAATCCATGTTTCCTGTAATGAAGGTAGGTTGACCGTTTGGGGTCAGGAAAGAGACGTAAATTACTGTGAGAGAAACCAAAACAGACGTTCACTCGGTTCTAACAGCAGTGACCTGAGCTTAATCGCCGATGTGTGTGTGTGTCGATTTGTCAGTGGTGGGAGTGGGAGAGATTGAGGATATATTCATAACAGTGAGTGTTTCAGCATTTCTGTGTGAGGGAAGGGTCAGAGAGGTGTAAAGTTAATATCTGTCAGATGTGAAGAGCTTCACTAAGGGAGGGATCTGGGGGTATGGAGCATTTGTTAATTATTCGACCTCCAAGGCACTTGAGTCAGTTTAATTCAAACTCCATGAAGGTTGAGTGCAGCGTTGACCTCGAGATCAACCCAGAGCTGGAAACTAGGAAGGATTGTCATGACAGCGAAACAAAAATTCAATATTCAATGCCTATACTAAAGGAATAACAACTCATATATTTATTTTTTAAGCAGTCAGATATGAAGAGCGTAAATAAGTGAAGAACATTTAAAGATTTATTTTCTCCCTTTCTCGTTAGTTGTTTAGTGCAAGTGACCCTGTTATGCCTCCTATTATTCTGTCTCGAATGCCAGCCTATGGTCTTCACATGGCTGCCTGTGAACGACATCTACTTTGACCTCAAACACTGCAGTTGTAGCTGAGGCCTGGTAGAGTTTGGTTTGTGTTGTCGAGAAGACACTAGCTGCGTCCGAAATCGAATACTTCTTTACTATATGGTATGCGAAAAACAGTACGCAAGCAGTAGTATGTCCGAAATCATACAATTCCAAAAACAGTAGGGGTCGACCGATATGTGATTTTCAGGGCCGATACCGATTATTACAGATCAAATAGGCCGATAACCGATATTTTGAACCGATATATATATATATATATATATATATATATATTGGTTATGCCGTGGAGATCTTTGTGTTTCCGTGTGTATGATATGACGATAACTTTTCCCAGTTGAAGCATTAAAAAGCTCATGAAGTGACTAAGCGACTCTGTCTCTCTCTGACTCTTAATATCGGTGCCGATAATCAGCCAGGCCGATAATCGGTCGACCCCTAAAAAACAGTAGGCGAAAAGTACCCGGATGACCTACTACTTCTGGTGAGACTCTGAAGTGTGCATACGATGGTCACTTTACTATCCCATGATGCCGCAGGAGAGGAGTTGTTGTTGTTATATCTGAAAATGGCGGAAACCGAAGACGCGGCTCTAACGTTAGGAGATAAACACACATGCGTATCTCTATTGATTCATTCATGTTTATTTATCGATGGTAATATCACAAGCAAATAATTGGCTTTTTCCTTGCCAAAAATCAACATCTGTCATTGTTCACAGGGGTTGTGTGTGTGTGTTTTATGAGGTAAAATGTATTAGGTAAATAAATGTTATTTGAGAAATTCCGCAAAAGGCGTGATCTGCGAGCAGCTGACCGACGCCTCCTCTTGATTGTCGGCTCGGATGACGTAAAAACGCAGATGAAAACAGAAAGCAGAACTTAAAACAGCGCAACGTTGGTGCAGTCAGTGGAACGGGCTCCTTAAATTTTTGCACTGTTGTGACAGCGCACTGTATGTCACGCGATAACAACATGGCACATGTAGTACGTCCGGACTCATTCATAGTACCTGTATATAGAACGTACTTTTTTTACGGTCGCGAAGTACGTTCTTATTTAAATATAGTACCTATTCACATAAGCTGCGTTTCCAACGCAGGAACTTTCCCCAGGAACTAGGAACTTACTCGATGTGTTTACACCGCAGGAACCAGGGTCTAAATGTAGTTCCAGGTAAAAATTTCCCTCCCAGAAAGTCCCTGCTGGCGAGGTTGTACTTTTTCAGACTTCAGGAACTTTCGGGGTGGGACTTGTGTGCTGAACATGCTGATTGGTTCTCACCACGCTGGCGCGCGTTCGTCCCATCCATCTCACGGTCAATGTCCGCTGATAACAAACGTCTACTTTTATATCTAGCATTACGAGCTTTCTGATTACGCTTTGGGTGCTCGTCTCTTTTCTGCCGTTTTGTTACCCAGACAGCAAACTGACATTGAATCAACGTGGAAACGACGTCTCTCATGACATTGAAACAACGTTGATTTTGCTCATCGAATTAACGTTGAACCAACGTCAGACGCGGCATTCTTCAAAGCTAAATGAAAATCGAAAATTGGTTTGCTTTCATAACGTTGAAACAACGCGTTGATTTCAAGTTGATTTTCCGTTAGTTTTGAAAGAATGACGCGTCTGACGTTGGTTCAACGTTAATTCGATGAGCAAAACAATGTCAAATCAACGTTGTTTCGATGTCATATTTCCACGTTGATTCAATGTCAGTTTGCTATCTGGGTAATTACCTCGTTAGTAAACCAATCGCGCACAAAAGAGGCAAAGCTTGAATCTCCTCCATACAAAACTCAAAACAAACGTGCAGGCTAGGAAGAGCAGTCGCACGCAGTTCAACGTCACTATAATCTTCCCGCCCCGTACCGGTACTTTAGTATGCGGTGTAAACGCAGTAAGCCAGCGGTCTAGGGAAAAAAAAAAGTTCCTGGGAAAAAAGTTCCTGGGAAAAATACTAGGTACGCGATTTCGGACGTTTTCTGCACTGCAAAAGCAAAAAAAAAGGACTATGACTCAGGCTTGAATTGATACGATAAAAACCGACACCATCATTACTCTTCATATCACTCGACAGCTGAAATTGATATTGTAATAGGCGTTTAGCATTTTTTAAGCAGCAGACCAATCACAACAGACTTAGCCATCTGACCAATCACAGCAGAGTAGACCCTCATAAAGGTGGAGGGTTTGGTCCAAAATGATAGTTTTGCAACTTTTTATGCCGCAATGATGTTTAACATAATCTAGAAGATTTTGAATCTAGATCTGATAAAGTTTTGCTCCTTTGAAGCCAAATGTTGACAAAAATATTACCATGGCACCATTTCGCACATTCTTCAGTGTTCAGATCAGGGTTTGGGTGGGAAACAATCCCCATGTTTATGAACGGCTAACCACCGCATGGATCAAATGTTATGTTTTTATTTGTTGTGTTAATCAAATAGACTGTAGGTGGAAAGAAATGTCAGGAATGAATGGTTTAGGAGACGGAGGTGTTGAATGGAACGGAAGGGTGGAGGGATATTGGGCGAGGCTCGTCCTATGGGGTATGTACTCGACGGCGAGTACCTCTTGAATTCTGCCAGTTTTGAGTGCGTTCATTGTTTACACAGTTTCAATTTCACCTCATTTGTTAGTGTCATGCATGCAAGGGCCTTTGCCGGGAATCCATTGAAGTGTTGAAAAGAAATAAGTTATAAAAACAAAGTAATTGTTCCCGTCAGCTGAGACGTCTCCCCTGGTGCCTTCTCATATTTTGCACCGATAGTGACGTGTGACATTTAATTTCCTGATGGAGATTGGTCTGTGTGTGTGTGATAACAGAGGAGATATTAGGAAACTCTGCCGTGAACTCAAACCCTTAAACTCTGACTTACTTTCTTTCCAGGCAATATATTTGTCAGAGCACACACACACACACACATACACAGTCACATTGTTTTTCAACAGCATGTGACACTTTATGGGTATTGTAACCAGATGGCGCCTTGCTTAATAACTCTGTTAAGCTGTGTGTTCACTGCACTATTTACCATTTATCCGGTTTGGGATATTTGGCAAATCCAGTTAAGAAGATGCTGAGATGTGTTAGGCTGCGCGATTGCATAAAGAAAATGAAGCCTATTTGTAGTGGATATAATACACATTTAGCTTAAGGGACATTTGTTGCACTAAATTTGTTTTAATAATTGGCAATCATGATGTTCATTGCTGTGTTACATGACATTTGTTCACATTGCAACAACCTAAATGTGGATGAAAATAACTTTGCCACACAATTATTCAATGGTACTAAACCTAAAATGTAGTCTCCTATCATAGGACTAACTCTAATGTCAAAGCTAATGCTAATAGCTAATGAGCTAGTCACGCATTTGAAGGAAGTCTGTATTGTAGGACATAAAAAAGGTTACTTTTAGCTGGATTTGTAGCTTGAAAACATGCAATGCTGGCTGTTTTGTCTTTTCCCACTCTGTTCTGACTAACATTTGTGCTCCTTTTCTTCTCCATTTCTTTCCTTTCCTCTCTTTTCCGTTGCCCTCAGTTTGGATGTATGGCCTTCAGGACAGTCCAACCAAGTCTGAGGCCTCAGGTAACTGCTTTATATGTGTGCATGCACGTTTGCAACTCCTCAATGTGGTCATTTTCCCAGTTTTTACAAGAACGGTTCCTAAAACAGCTCCAACATTAACAAATGTGAGTCAAAAATTGACTTTAGTGAAGAAATAAATTGCCATGAATCATCATTTGGCTGATAACTTCAACTGCATGGTCTTTTTTGATTTTTGAATTCAATATAATAATAAACATGACTTTTTAATAAGACAGAAGTCCAATCATAGGCAAGTGGTGTGTTTAGAGAAATTGCCATGGGATTTTAACTGGCTAAAGAGGCATAACTGTTCTCCTAAAACATCAGGATGTAAAACCCTTTCTTTTAAAGAGCAGATCTTTCAGGTTTGTGGATTTACATGTGGCTTATAAAGTTTATGCTAGAAGACAAACTATTTATAATAGGTGTTGCAAGGCTAGCAGTGCAGAAGAAGACACAACGGAGGATGTAAAACATGACACGAGAGCCTGTGGTCCTCTCAGCGTTTTCCTGGGAAGTCTTAGAGACGACGGCTTGCAAATAAACATTTCAGAAAAGAATGCACTCCGTTTTCGGAAATAACCGCTGAAGCTCACAGAGCTATAGCCCATGTGGAGTGCGTTTTCACCATGAACATCACACACACCCTACATAATTGGTCAATTCACTGCAAAACTAAGAAAACGCACTGAACACATGTGGATTTGCTTGTTTAAGTCCTTTCTAAAAACATCAACATGTCAAAATCCAGCTTAAAAAGGTGTTTTATAATTTGTCCCAGCTGGTCATTAGCTAGTCAAATCAGGTTTTTTTTAGCTGGTCGACCCAGTTTAACAGTTTTGAGCTAATATAGTATGTTTATTGCTAGTTAAATATTGCCTACCAGCTAATAACCCAACGCATTCTCATCCCAAGGTGTCATATACTGATGCTTTTGGCAATGCGTAGACATCCAACGCACATGGCACCCTTTAGCGTCAATATAACACGCTTCGGTTGTGGATAGGTTTAGGTCTGGGGAAGGGTTAGGGTTAGACCACTAGGGGGCGCCTTCCGGCCCATATATATCTGCATCTCATATTGACTACGTTTACATGCAGACAATTTTCGGGTTATGGTTGGGTTAAGGTCACTATTCGGGTTTCTGAAACATTAAGAATAACCCGTTTACATGCGTGAGCAGAGAGAGTTTCTCCTGTATACATGGAATTGCAATATCCTGATGTAAACGGCGACGCGTGGTTAGCGTCTAGACATTCGAACAACCTTAAGACGCAATATGCGTCATTTCCGATTCTTCTTCCTGTATCCAAAGACAACAAAAACAGCAGCATGCGCATAATGAATAGTTCGGGGCGGATCGCCTTTGTTTGCGCTTTGATGCTGGTAACGTTACTGAGCTCGCTCCAAAAGTATGCTGTGCTGTGTCTCGCCATATTTACTTCCGGTATACTGAACGCGGATTTTTGTATGCGCCGAGAAGTTTCTCTTCTCAAAAGACCAAGGCCACGTTTACACAAAGCCGGGTATTTAGCAAAACAAATATTTTCCCCCTCTCCGTTTTCAAAAATAACATCGTTTACACACCCGCATAAATACGCCGTTGAGCGCCATCATTACTATGCCAAACCTATTGTCGGCAGTGTAGGGGTTAAGGATAAAGCCATGCAAGCCAATCAGAATCCTCAGAAACGACAAGATAGAACCTAAAACACCTTTTCTCCCGGTTCACACGACAACACATAACCGGCGTTTTCAGAAATCTCCACTTTGGCCGGAGTTTTTAGAAATAATCGTTTTCAGTGATAAAAACGGCGTTTTCGTGTAAATGAGAGGAGATTCCCATCGTGTAAATGGGGCCCAAGATTCCTTGCGAATAGAACATGCGCAGAACACAAATCACTATGGGGATATGCTGATACGTGTTTACATGACCAAAAATTCGGGTTAGAAAAGGGGTACCCCAGGTATAATATCCCGGTTTTTAAAATCCGGGATATGAGCATATTCGGGTTTTCGGCGGTGTTTACATGGCCGTTCGCGACCGGGTTATTGCTAATATCCTGGTTTTTAACGGGTTATTGGCTGCATGTAAACGTAGTCATTGACGCTAAAGGGTGCCATGTGTGTTGGATGTCTACGCATTGGCAAAAGCGTCAGTATATGTCGCCTTGGGATGAGAACAGGCTGAATAACCAAATAATGTCCGATTTAGACCAGCAAGAAACAAGTTATTGCACTCTAAAACACAATTACCTGTTTATGATGGATTTTCCACCAGGGGTAAAAGTAACAGTAAACGGATGCTAATGGAAAGTTTGGAAATCGAACTGTTTTCTTTGTGGTGACTGTCAGATGGAAGGGAAATGTATCTGCCATTGGCACAAACAGCGTTAAATGTCAGAAATATATATCACAGCTGACTTCAGCACAACCCGCAAGTATTTGGTTGAGCAATGCAGTATGTTGTCATGTGAGGCAGCGCTAATTAGCTTCTTCCGTACTGAGGGTAATAGTGACAAGATACAGAACTCCTGCTCTGCTCTCTCACTTCTCTCTGGATAAAGGATTCCCTATAATCCTGATTTAAGAGCTTATGAGTTTTAAAACACATTGCACTAGCAACAAAGACATGCTGTTGGCATCATGACAGCTTGATATTGAATAAGAGCTCAAGACCTGATTGTATGCTAGATTTGTTTGGTACAAAAAGTTTTGATTTGATTCATTTAACTAATCCAGTCTAGTTAAATAATATTCATTTGAGAGAATTTGCCCTGAATTAATGAGCATCCATATCTACCAAGACTGGATGCGCAAATTATTGCCTGTAAAAAAATTCCATGTCACTGCTATGGTAATGATCATCACTTTATACATATACCATGCATACATTGGACATAGTCCACTGTGATACATGTCCTAAAGAAATGTGTTAATGATATGGTGGTACGCAAGTAATAGTTGTGTGTAAAAAGTTGCAAAAGCACCTGCCTGCCACCTCTTTGGCCTTTAGAAATTAAAAGAAGAAAAAAAAAGATGCATTGCACATTTGATGTTTTTGAGAACATTTTAGACATTTTTTTTTTTTTGCTATAAAAAGCCTCTAGGGTCCAGAAGACCACACTACGAGAAAAGCAACCACACAGTGTTTTGAAGTTCAAGCACATATAAAGAAACTACAGAAGTAGTTAGAAGTACACATATATCATTTGAAGTTTTAGTAACTATATGCAGAAATTATTGAAATGCACAAGCCAGAAGCGTTTGATGTGTTATTCTTTAGATATTTTCGTTTTAAAACATGAAACCGCAATTTCAGCTCATTTTATTGCTGTCATGTTTTTCTGAGTTAAACAGGATATGCGATTAAAAAACAAAACACTACCACTGAAAAGTTTGGGGCCGTTTCTTTTTCTGTTTCTCTCTCTCTCTTTTTTTAAAGAAGTCTTATAGTAAAAACAGTAATATTTAAATTTTTATTACAATTTAAAATAACTGTTTTATATTTTAATAGACATTTTAAATGTAATTTATTGATGTAATTGAGTTTTTAATCATTGCTCAAAAAATGTATTAATTTATTATTTTTATATTATTATCAAATTTGAAAGCTGTTGTGCTACTTAAAATTAATTGTGTTTAATTTTTTGAAAATTGTGTTTTTTATTTCATTATAAATAATTTATACTTTAGTATTGTCAAAATCCTACTTGTTCATTCTACTGATTTGCGCATATGATCATGTGATAGGGCCACTGGACTTCTGTAATAATTTTTTACTATCCCATTATTTTGGATTTTGAAATACCTGGTCCTTATTCACTCTCATTATATGTAATATTCTTAAAACAAATATACCTTTATGGAATACAGTAAGTCATACAGGTTTAGGGCAACATAAGGCTGACTAAATAATTACAGCATTTACATTTTTGCCTTAAATATCCCTTAAAGTCATTGATGAAGAAGAACAGGTTAGAGGAAATAAAAAAGAAAGAGAGAAGGATAGAGTAAGAGAGTGTTGCTTAACCCCAGCTGAAATGCTTTCTTCTTGCGTTTCACATAAACACGGCTTCTCTCTCTTTACTCGGCCCACTCATATGTTTCTATTTAAGGCTTGGAGAGCAGTCTACCCTGATTGGCGTTTTTCTCTCTCCCCGTTTCAGCCAGATGGGAGGAGGGATGGAGAAAGAGAGCGAATTAGAGTGAAAAACGAGAAAGGGAGGGCAGGAGAGAGGGCGGGAGGCCTGTTCTTGCTCGTCTGATGAAGAAAAACTTTCTATTCCTCCACTTGCGAGTCACTTCCCCTACCGTAAACAGCTCTCTCCCAGTCTCTTTTCCCTTCCGAACATCCCTCCCCCGTTTCCTCACGAAAACCATCACTGTATTATGGAGACCCGGCATCACCAAGTCCCTACCGAGCTCTCGAATCCCTGAAGGAAATTGACCTCGCCTTACATTTTCGTGATCGTTCTCCCCCCCCAACATTCAAATGCGCGTCCAGCGAGGGCGAAGGTTCGTCTAAATGGCCCGTCGTTGTGGAGCATGCTCAGTCTGCAGGAGTTTGAGTTGCGCTAGGCTTTGGAGAGCGGATGGCGGTGTACAGGGGTCAAGCCGGAGGTCGCTGGCAGGGCAGGGTTGGCGGGGGAGGTGCAGGGATGGCGGGACGGTGGCTGACAGCTTGTTTCTTCCCCTCGTCGGCAGGACTGGACAGCAGTGAGCCCATGGTGCTGGAGCAGTACGTGGTGGTGGCCAACTACGAGCGGCAGGAGAACTCGGAGATCAGTCTGAAGGCTGGAGAGACGGTGGACGTGATCGAGAAGAGCGAAAGCGGTGAGTCCTCCAAACAGATGGAAATGGACAAATACTCTTAATGTTTCCATCCAATTTGTTTTGTAACTGGCCCCCGACTGAGCCTGGGTTCTCCCAAGGTTTTTGTTTTGGTTCGTTGCCACTGTTGCCTTGGCTTTTGGCTTGCTTAGTTGGGGACATTTAATATTCAACAATATTATTCATCTGTGTTGTATTATTTTCATGTTATCACTGTGAAGCTGCTTTGATACAATTTGCATTGTAAAAAGCCAAGGATACTAAATCACACCAAGGATAATAACGATAGTAACAACGATTGTAAATTCAAAACGAATGGCACCAAACCACAACCATAATGATAACACAGAGAAATTGTTGGAATCACTTTCAAAATGATTAAAAACAACAACAACAACATTGACAGCCAACCAGAATCTACCTGACTTTGAAGAGTGCAAGCATTTAAAGCGGCAGGCATGCTTATAATAAACAACTACATCATGAATTGGTGTGGACGCAAATATCATTATAGTTACCTTTAGTTATCATTCTTGGTGTGTTTCTACCCTTTGCTGGGTTGTTTTAACCCATCTTTGGGTCAAATATGGACAAACCCAAACATTGGGTTAAAAATATAATTAAAAAAATTAACCCAATGGCTGGGTTTGTCCATATTTAACCCAAAGTTGGGTTAAAACAACCCAGCAACTTTTAGAGTGCACACACACACACACAAAGCTAATTAGGTTACCACGTGGTATTTATTGGCAAAACCGGTGTATACACAAACACACATTCACCTGCAAATGTGAATGCTTTCTTATGCTCACGATCCACATGTTAAGCGGGTCTGTTTTATCTTTCTCGTCTTTTCTGATACGTTCTTCCTCTTTGATGTAGAGCTCCTCCTTTAGTCTTTGTCCTTAAGATCCCCTGGTTCCCTCTTCTGACATTCCCCTCTCCCTGTAAATCTACAGTCTGGCTCTTGGCCCCACCTGGAGGTGTCGTATGGCCAGTTTTTTTGGCGGTTGAACCCCCTCCAGATCTCTGGGATGGAGGCCAGATTGATCTGGAATGTCCATGAGATAGTCATGAGAAGTTTGTCAGTTGGAAGATGTGCTAATGGATCAGGGTCACACAACATTAGAGATCATGTGGAATGTAGAGATTGACAACAACAATGGGAAGAAAGAGAGCCTTGAGTGTTGTTGGTTTTTTTCCCCCTTTGGTTTGTTTTCCCAGATTAATGTTAATGCTGTAAATGTTTAAACTTGCCAGCATATCTCGTAGCCTTGTACATTAGAGGTTGAGCCACTTTGTCTCTAGTCATGTTTGCCAAAAACATGTTTGCACATCCAGAGAGTTAGTAATTATAAACAAGAGGACCTCGAGAACTAGCGTTCTTCTGTTGAAAAAAAAAAAAAAAAAGTTTGTGAGTAATCATTTTTTCCTATATGGAGTGTGGAGGCTTAGGAGGAGTTGACAGGAGTTGCAGATGAGCAAAGATCCAGTAAACCCATTTGATCTGAGTAATATCATTAAGAAAGAGAGCTTGACCTCCTGGTTTCAAAATAATCCTTTGACTAAACTAGTCTAGACTGAGACTAAACCAATTGTTCTATTGATTTGGGCATCTTTTGGATGATTGAGTCTATTTTGGGGTGCCCGGTTAAAGGTTATTTTTTTTTTTTTTAAATGTGTTGTTATACAATGCAAATATTAAGAGAGATTTTAGAGCAAACCTAATTGACTCCAAGGCCCAACCTATTGTCTAAACTAATAGGTTGGTTATTCTGCTATGATGAAAATAAACTACATTTAAAGGAGTAGTTCACTTTAAAAAAAACCTTTTGCTGATAATTTACTCACCCCATGCCATCCAAGTCATTCTTTCTTCAGTCGAAAAGAAATTAAGGTTTTTGATGAAAACATTCCAGGATTTTTCTCCATGTAATGGACTTCAATGGGAACCAAACGGTTCAAGGTCCAAAAGACAGTTTCAGTGCAAACTCTCCTATTCGAACTCATTTATCAAAATGAACGAATCTTTTCCCGAGTCAACTCGTTCATTTCGTTCATTGAATGAACCAAATGACACGAAAAAAGATTCGTTCATTTTGATAAACGAGTTCGAACGGCCATCACAGAACAGAGCAAGGTGACCATTTGAGCGTATAAAACGTAAACTTTGTTTTGTTTTTTTAAATGACCGATCGTTTTGCTTGATAAGACCCTTATTCATCGTCTAAAATCGTTTAAAGCCATTTGAACAGTTTGCAGTTTGCACTGAAACGGTCTCGTTTGGTTCCCATTGAAGTCCATTATATGGAGAAAAATCCTGGAATGTTTTCATCAAAAACCTTAATTTCTTTTCGACTGAAGAAAGAATGACGTGGATATCCTGGATGACATGGGGGTGAGTAAATTATCAGCTAAAGTTTTTTTTTTTTTTAAAGTGAACTACTCCTGTAAGTGATTTTAAGACTTACTAGGGCCATCTTATTTTGGAAGTTAGCTAAGGCCCTTTAGTGGGCCCCAGTCGCTTGACTGAGAACCACTGTTTAAGAAAATGAATGCCGTTTCAAATTATTTTTTTCATATACAGTATTTTTTTGGAGCAAGAAAGTTTCATATTTGATATACTGTACACTGAAACATTCCTCCTCTTCCATCGGATGAACCTGATCTTGAATACATTATGACCATTATAGAGTAATCAATCCAAAAGTCCTATATCAGTCTGGTCAACACCTCAGACATTTGTTCATTTAGCTTTTATTTGACAATTTAACCCTTAGAGTTAAGACACATAGTTGTAATAATTCTATCTATATTAGTGTCCACATAAAGAACTATAACATTATATTAATTCTTTAAAGTGATTTCAAAGAATCCACTGTTAAAACCTTGCAGTTTAGTTATCATTCTTTGTGTGAACAAACCTTTGCTCTATGCCTTTCTTTTAACAGTAGATTGCTGGTTTATTTGTTCAAGCCGAGTACAGATTTCCAGGTACAACTCATTGATTCTCACAACTGGACAAGTAATTTAATCACACTAAAAACTCAGGCATAAGAGTCTTGCTCAGGATGCAGTTGTCCTTGAGTAAAAAAACTCTTGGCTTCCTTAACCACAGTTAAACTCCAGCTGTTTTACAGTGCAGGCAACTCCGCTTGGGTTGGGAAGAGATGAACCACGCAGGGCCACAGGATTAATGAACTCGAGAAACAAAAGCAGAAAATATCTGAATGGGAGAAGATAATAGAATCTAAACACAGTGACAGAATCATTTAAAGGAATGGCTCACCCCAAAGAAAGAAAGTCATGCATGTTTGAGCTCTTACGAAACTGAACAAATGCTGGGGGAATTGTTATTTTAGAGTGAACTGTTCCTTTAAATCAGCCTAGGCCTACCCCTGGAGTGAACTGTCTGTCCTTCGCTGACTCCAGAATTCCTCAAATGTGCAAAGCATTTTTTGAAACTGAAGATGAGTTGCAGCAGCTTGATATCACTAGAAGCCCATCCTCTAAAATCCCGTCTCCATATTTTGAATTAAATGACTACCCTAGTGTATCTGTCAGATGCAGTATGTTTATTAAGATTGTATATCATTTAAACCTACTTTTTAATGTGGCTGAAATCGCGTTTATAAGAAGCGACTGGCAGAAGTTGGGCTGCTCTGGCTTCTCTCTGGGTCATGGAGAGGGAACGATGGAAAAATCCCCCTTGTCCTTAGTTTCATTATATGCTAATGGATCTTGCAGGGCCTTAGATTCTTACAGAGTGGTTACAGTGTCACGCATCCCAAACCAATACCACCAGAAAGCATTCAGAAGTTTTTGTTGAATGTCTGTGAGATAGATAACGCAGTCAAAGCCATCAAGAGTTTATAGATCAATCCACTGTTTTTGTCATTATTTGTTGCTATACTCTTCCACGTAAAAATACTTACGGGTTTAAATATGTTGTCAGCAAATTTTGGCGTGTTTTCCACACAAAGCTATTGTATGGTTTTAGAAGACTGAATAAATCCCGCAAGTCGTATAAAGCAACTGTAAATTTCTCATCCACTTTTATACTATAAAACAGAGACTGGACATTCTGCCAAATCCCTTTTTCTGTCATCATAAGGTGTTTGAAATGATGTCATTTTAATTTTTAGTCTTAGAGAACTACATTTTGGTGAGCTAAACGAAAAAGAAAGAAAGAAAGAAATGGTGCTACAAGAATTTCACAGCTGAAATCAGGCCTTAAAATATTGTAATGTACATTCGAAAGACTGTTTACTGTAATACTTTTGCTGTTTTGTATAGAAAAGATTATACTCTTAGTATACTCATTAGGGGTAGGTTTAGGTCTGGGTTAGGGTTAGACCACTAGGAGGCGCCTTCTGCCCCATATATATCTGCGTCTCATAGGCCCCATTTACAGTACACTGCATGGTTCAAGTGACCCAAATCCGATTTTTTCCTCTCATGTGGCACAGATCGGATATGACCGTTGAACGTGTACGCAGGAAAAAAAAAACGCATGGATTCTGATTTTCTCAGATTGGATTCAGGCCTCACTCATATGTGGTAATAAATCGGATGCGTGCATTTGCGTGTGCCATGTAAGCAGACAAATCGGATATTCCCCAGTAAATGCGAGTCGTACGTCATTAAAAAAGTGACGTCAACTCAGATGGACACCGTGCACCAACTGAGATCACATGACTGATGACTTATTATAGTCGCGATGGAGGACGAAGGATACACAGTGGAGCAATGCGAAGGTTTCATGTGTTTTGAGTGTCACGGCGGCAAAAATGCAGCGTTGTTACAGAAATTAATCCGTGTTTGAAGACTTTTCATGATATATGCGAGGCAAGGTTTTACGCGCTCGTGGCTACAGTGCCAACAGCTTTTTCTCCACCGTACGAGACCAATGTTTTTGCTGACTTTTCAAAATATTGTGGAAAGCAAACCTGCAAAATTTTATTTGCATCTGCATCCATTGCATTTCGTGCTGTTTTATTCCC